TAGTCTAGTCTATAGTCTAGTCTATAGTCTAGTCTATAGTCTAGTCTATAGTCTAGTCTATAGTCTAGTCTATAGTCTAGTCTATAGTCTAGTCTATAGTCTAGTCTATAGTCTAGTCTATAGTCTAGTCTATAGTCTAGTCTATAGTCTAGTCTATAGTCTAGTCTATAGTCTAGTCTATAGTCTAGTCTATAGTCTAGTCTATAGTCTAGTCTATAGTCTAGTCTGTAGTCTAGTCTATAGTCTAGTCTATAGTCTAGTCTATAGTCTAGTCTATAGTCTAGTCTATAGTCTAGTCTATAGTCTAATCTATAGTCTATATTATAGTCTATAGTCAAGTCTACAGTCTACAGTCTAGTCTATATTATAGTCTATAGTCTAGTCTATAGTCTAGTCTACAGTCTAGTCTACAGTCTAGTCTACAGTCTAGTCTATAGTCTAGTCTACAGTCGAGTCTATAGTCTAGTCTATATTCTAGTCTATATTCTAGTCCATAGTATATAGTCTAGTCTATAGTCTAGTCTATAGTCTAGTCTATAGTCTAGTCTATAGTACAGTCTAAAGTCTAGTCTATAGTCTAGTATATAGTCTTATCTATAGTCTAGTCTATAGTCTAGTTATAGTCTAGTCTGTAGTCTAGTCTATAGTCTAGTCTATAGTCTAGTCTATAGTCTAGTCTATAGTCTACCTATAGTCTAGTCTATAGTCTAGTCTATAGTCTAGTCTATAGTCTAGTCTATAGTCTAATCTATAGTCTAGTCATTTTTTTAAATTTCGAAATTCTCTAAAATTTTTTGTTAATTTTTTCGATTTTTTTTGTAATTTGTCTCCTTAGTAGCGTTCATTAGTTATTTTGAACGTTTAGAACATTTTCTGTGAATTATTTTAGTTTTCTAGTGTTTTATATTTTTTTGCAAAATGTGAATGTCCTCTGTTAGCCCACAAAAATAATCAAAAAAAAAAAAAAAAAAAAAACTCTAACAACAACTACAACGAATGCAACTATAGAAAAAACAACAAAAACATTTAATGTAGCGCGAGGTTGACGACTGCTCAGCTCTACACAACTCAGCTGGCAGTCTTAAATGCACACACAACTGCAGCAACAACGAACATAATAAAGATCTCCACACCACCCCCCGCCCGCTTTACGAAAAACCATTGAATAACTACATGCTGAGAGAGGGAGAGAGAGAGAGAGAGCTCTAAAAAAAGTGCATATGCAAAAATACTGCACTAAAACACAACTAGAGCCTTCACTTTACTAACACATCCACCAACAAACTCGTGTGTATGTTTATAAAAAGCCCCTCATAGCTCTTGGCTGCTGCTCCCCTTTAGAAGCAAAATAACAATGCTCACGTGTTTGTTAAATTACTCATTGAAAAGGGGGGACTGCTCTCTCGATAGTTTAAAATTGAGTGATTTTTTTGTTGTCGTTATTTGAGTGCTTTTGAGTAAATTATGTAGAGTAGAGGAATTCAAACAATCATTCGCAAATTGTGTGTCAAACGTAACGGACGTGTTTACGTGAGAGTGACTTAATATAGAAAAAATTAAAGAAAATAAATAAATTTTATAAAAATAAAGCAAATTTTAATTAAAATTACAAAAAAACGCGTCATTAAATTATAATAAAATTTTATTGAAGAAAAATTAAAAAAAAAATATTTTTGGGATTTATTAACAAAAGCAAGAAAAAGTTTTAAAAGTTATAAAAAAATATTTATTAATTTAAAAACTACAAAAAAACCTTTTTTTAAAAAGGTTTTTTTAATTTAAGAAAATTAAGTGAGAATTAAAGAAAATAGCAAAATTTTTAGCAAAATTTTTTTAAAAGAAAAATTGGCGCGTGTTTTTATTAAAAAAATAAAGAAAATTTTAAAAAGGAAATTTAATAACAACTAAAGGAGAATTTCATAGAAAAAAGAAGCAAAAATGTTCCTTAATAGCAAATTTTAGAAAATATTTATTTCAAAAAAATATTAAAAGAAAATTTTCCACAAATTTTCTAACAAAGTGTCATTTAAACCAAAAATTTAAGAAAAATTTTTAAAATAAATTAAAAAAATAAAATTAAAAATTTCTTAAACAAAATGGTGTGTGCTATGCAAGAATTAAATACCACCGCAGTGGCTATAAATGAAACTCATCATCATCATCATCATCTGCAACAACAACATCATCATCATCTCCAGCAACAGCTACAACACAGCCTGCAGCAGCAACAACAATTGCCACAACAGGTTGAAATAGTTAGAACATTGCCCACGCATTTTACACAACATTTACAACAATCCCCACAACAAATGACCACCATAGTGGTTTTAACCACCCCCAGCAGCCATACAGTGGGACAAACAACACAGCAAACGGTTATAAATGTACAGCAACAAGCTAATACAAATCTTTTGCAAACACAAAATATAGTGACGCAGCAACAGCAGCAGCAACAACAACAACAGCAGCAGCAACATTTGAGCAATTCAAATAAAAGTCAACAATTAAAGAAACAACATGCTTCTTTAGTTAGATTATTGGAATCGGCGCCTATAACTAAGAAATCTTTGAAAATGCAAAAACCGCAACAACAACAAAATACTAGTCCTCAGTTACAGCAACAAATTGTAATACCTCAATTACAACAACAACAGCAGCAGCAAACACAAACACAACAGCAAATTATTTATGTTAAACAGCAACAAACAACGCCGCAGCAAACGTTGACCTTAACGCAACAGCAGCCACAATTAGCTCAACAATTGGCACAACCAAAAAGACTGAAAACAAACTCCTCCTCATCATTATCATCCTCCTCGACAAACTCCTCCATCAACACAACAACGACAACATTAAACATAACAAAACAGCCACAGCAACAACAATTAGTAGTATTAACACCTGCAACAACACCAGCAGCAGCAACAGCAGGAAATCTTAGTGATAATAGCAACATTATAAAGACATTAAACAACACCTCTAATCACAATTTATTAAGTACAATTAATACAAATTTTGATCGTAATCAGGAATATCAAAAACCTCAAGAGCAACAACAACAACAGCAGCAACAACAATTGCCTCTTAAAACTGACAACAATGAATCGGGCATAGAGGAAGAGCCAGAGGATTCAAATGCTCAAACAACTGAAAGCAAATTGAACAACTCCCACAATATTAAGGAATTGGCCTATGAGCCGCAACAATGTCCCTGGAAGAAGATAAGATTTGCTCGAGAATTAAAGCAAAAAGAACAAATGCAAAAGCAACAAGAATTTAAAGAAGAGAAAACGATAACAGATAATGATAACACCACCACCAACAACAACAACAACTCTTCCAATTTCTCCTCCTCAACAAATGCCGCAACTAACTCAAATTATGAATTAAACCTCGCCGAACAAACCCACAAAGAAATTGCCATTTTGCTACAACAGCAACATCAAAACTATCAGCAACAACAGCAGCAACAACAACAACACCGACGCGATAGCTCCGATTCAAATTCTTCTCTAATCAGCAACACCTCTAGTACGCACTCCCTTAGCAATGGTTGTACCTGTACACCCCAACAGTTGTCCCAACGACAGGATACAACCAACGAAGATGATTTCTATTTAGATCGCAGAAACTCCAGCCTATCAGTCGAAGAAATGGACAGCGAATCCATAGTACTATTACCCTGTCAGTGTGCCGACTGTCAGCAGGATAATATGGATGATTCGGGCTGTGATGATGATCAAAAGGATGAGGATTTGACCACGTTAAATTATTTGTGTCAGAAATTTGATGAGAATTTGGAAACGGGCAAACATGCGGCAAATAGTAATAATAATAATAATAATAATAATAATAATAATAATAATAATAATAATAATAATAATAATAATAATGCAAATAATCATATAAATAATCCACAAACCACCGATTTAGTTAAAGTGGCCATAGTTAAGAGAGAGGATAAGGAGGAGAGAACGCCGCTAACGGGGAAACAGCAAAAGGATGAAGTAGGTTTTTTGTCCCCCCCCCCCAAAAAAAGGAGGAAATTTGTAGACCTTACAATTTAGACTGTATTTCAATTTTTATAAGAAATTTATATCTAATCACTTTATACTAGAGAAATTTCGAATTTTAGAAAACCTAACCTCAAATTTAAACTTTTTAAAACTCAAAATTTTCTTTCAAATTTAGCTAAAACTAAAAGAAAACTCGAAAAAAATAACATTTACAAACGATTTTTGTTAAATTTTTCTCTAAAACTCTAGAAATTGCGATTTTTAAAAATTCTAACCTCAAAATGAAATTTTTTAAAACTCAAAGTTTTCTTTCAAATTTAGCTGAAACTAAAAGAAAACTCAAAAATAATAACATTTACAAACGATTTTTGTTAAATTTTTGTTTAAAATTCTAGAAATTGCGATTTTTAAAATTTCTAACCTCAAAATGAAATTTTTTAAAACTCAAAATTTTCTTTCAAATTTATTTAAAACTTAAAGAAAACTTGAAAATAATAACATTTACAAACGATTTTTGTTAAATTTTTATCTAAAAATCTAGAAATTGCGATTTTTAAAAATTCTAACCTCAAAATGAAATTTTTAAAAACTCAAAATTTTCTTTCAAATTTAGCTGAAACTAAAAGAAAACTCGAAAATAATAACATTTACAAACGTTTTTTATTAAATTTTTGTTTAAAATAGTAGAAATTGCGATTTTAAAAAATTCTAACCTCAAAATGAAACTTTTTAAAGATTAAAATTTTGCTTAAAATTAGCATTAAACTGTTAGGAAAATGATGGAATAATATATTCTAAAGCGATTTTACTCGAAGATTTGTTTTGTTAGAGAAATATTGCAAATTTTAAAAAACCTAACCTGAAAATGAAATTTTAAAATTTTGTTTATTTATGTTGGTTTTATGTTAAAAGTAAAATTTTTAAAATTTTGATCACATTTTTATATAAAAATTTCTTATGTTTTCCCTTTTTTTCTCATTTTAGGGCTTCTTCCGCCGTTCCATACAGCAAAAAATCCAATATCGTCCCTGTACAAAAAATCAACAATGCAGCATTTTGCGCATAAATCGCAATCGTTGTCAATATTGTCGCCTGAAAAAGTGTATAGCCGTCGGCATGAGTCGTGATGGTAAGTTTTCACATTTCATTTTTTACTCTTAATATTTATTTAACATAATTATTTAAATAAACAACAAATTATAAAGAAATTTTGCACACTTAAGTAATCAAAAAAAAAAAGCAGTCAAAAAAAATTTGGCAATAATAATAAAAAAAATTTAACATAAGCCAAAAATATAAGTAAATAAAACTCAAACTCCCCATATGCTATAGCTTAAACAAGTGTTTAAGGTCATTAACCCTTTGGTTTAAAAGTGTTTTTTAAAATGTTTTAAAAAAAATCAGGTTTTTTTGATGGAGATTTTCGAAGAAAATGAATAACTTGTTTGTCGATTTATAGATAAGAAATGAACTAAATAATGATATAAATTTATTTTTAAATTTAAAACATTTTTGCGTAATTTTTGTTGCTGCTTTACATTTAGCTGTTTATGTTTGGTAGCGAACATATGCGGGTGTTTAAATTTAAAAATGTTTATTTTTACAGTATTATTATAGATGTTTTTGTTGTTGTTATTTTATAGTCTCCATCAGACATGGAAACTTCAGTAATTTACTCTAATTTATAGTTTATAGTCTAGTCTGTAGTCTAGTATATAGTCTAGTCTATAGTCTAGTCTAGAGCGTAGTCTATAGTCTTGTCTATAGACCAGTCTATACTCTAGCCTATAATCTGGTCTAGTCTATAGTCTAGCCTATAGTCTAGTCTATAGTCTTGTCTATAGTCTAGCCTATAGTCTATTCTATAGTCTATTCTATTGTCTAGTCTATAGTCTTGTGTATAGTATAGTCTATAGTCCAGCCCATATTCTAGTCTATAGTCTAGTCTACTGTTTAGCCTTTAATCTAGTGTATGTCCTGGTCCCAAGACTCATCTATAGTCTAGTTTATAATAATAGTCTAGTCTATAGTGTAGTTTATAGTCTAGTCTATAGTATAGTCTATAGTCTAGTCTATAGTCTAGTCTATATTCTAGTCTATAGTCTAGTCTATAGTCTAGTCTATAGTCTAGTCTATAGTCTAGTCTATAGTCTAGTCTATAGTCTAGTCTATAGTCTAGTCTATAGTCTAGTCTATAGTCTAGTCTATAGTCTAGTCTATAGTCTAGTCTATAGTCTAGTCTATAGTCTAGTCTATAGTCTAGTCTATAGTCTAGTCTATAGTCTAGTCTATAGTCTAGTCTATAGTCTAGTCTATAGTCTAGTCTATAGTCTAGTCTATAGTCTAGTCTATAGTCTAGTCTATAGTATAGTCTATAGTCTAGTCTATAGTCTAGTCTATAATCTAGTCTATAGTCTAGTCTATAGTCTAGTCTATAGTCTAGTCTATAGTCTAGTCTATAGTCTAGTCTATAATCTAGTCTATAGTCTAGTCTATAATCTAGTCTATAGTTTAGTCTATAGTCTAGTCTATAGTCTAGTCTATAGTTTAGTCTATAGTCTAGTCTATAGTCTAGTCTGTAGTCTAGTCTATAGTGTAGTCTATAGTCTAGTCTATAGTCTAGTCTATAGTGTAGCCTATAGTCTAATATATAGTCTAGTCTATAGTGTAGCCTATAGTCGAGTCTATAGTCTAGTCTATAGTGTAGTCTATAGTCTAGTCTATAGTGTAGTCTATAGTCTAGTTTATAGTCTAGTCTATAGTGTAGTCTATAGTCTAGTCTATGGTCTAGTCTATAGTGTAGTCTATAGTCTAGTTTATAGTCTAGTTTCTAGCCTAGTTTATAGTCTAGTCTGTGGTTTAGTCTATAGTCTAGTCTATAGTCTTGTCCATAGTCTTGTCTATAGTCTAGTATATAGTCTAGTCTATGGTCTAGTCTATAGTCTAGTTTATAGTCTAGTCTATAGTCTAGTCTATGGTTTAGTCTATAGTCTAGTGTAGTCTATAGTCTAGTCTTTAGTCTAGTCTATAGTCTAGTCTTTAGTCTAGTCTAGTCTATGGTGTAGTCTATAGTCTAGTCTATAGTCTAGTCTAGTCTATAGTCTAGTATAGTCTAGTCTAATCTAGTCTAGTATATAGTTTATTCTATAGTCTAGTCTTTTGCCTAGCTGGTGTAGTCTATAGTATAGTTTATAGTCTAGTTTATAGTCTAGTCTATAGTCTAGTTTATAGTCTAGTCTATAGTCTAGTCTATAGTCTAGTCTATAGTCTAGTCTATAGTGTAGTCTGTAGTCTAGTTCATAGTCTAGTCTATAGTCTAGTCTATTGTCTAGTCTATAGTCTAGTCTATAGTCTAGTCTATAGTCTAGTCTATAGTCTAGTCTATAGTCTAGTCTATAGTCTAGTCTAGTCTATAGTCTAGTCTAGTCTAGTCTATAGTCTAGTCTATAGTCTAGTCTATAGTCTAGTATAGTTTATTCTATAGTCTAGTCTATTGCCTACCTTATGGTCTAGTCTATGGCTAGTCCATAGTCTAGTCTATAAGTACAATTTTGAAAATATCAATATCCCATGCCTGCCCTCCATATGTTATAAATGGCTGCTGTTTTTAAAACAAGAGAGCAAGTCCAATTGTTATTATTGTTATTATGTACGTATGTACGTCCGTCTGTCTGTCTGTTTATCTGTTTTCAAAGTGTGTTGTTGGGTCTTATGAAATGGTGCTAAAAGTTGAATGAACGCACTTAACCTAAATTTTTGCAGGCTACTTTTGTTATTGCTGTTCTCTTTCTCTGTTCATCACTCCTCTCGCCTACATACAACTTATTATTGTGTTCGTATTTTTGTTGTTATTATAATTATATGCACGAGCTTTACTGTTAAAAATATGTTACCAGCAAACAACTAAACATTATTCATTATTATGAAGTGAGTGTGTAAGAGGAAGAGGAGGGGGGTGTGAGTGTTTGCAGAGAGGCCTTCAAAATATATAGCAATGGCGTGTGGTATATTGTTTACTCTCTTTTCTTTTCATATCATAAATAATTCATAATAAATATTATTTAATACACAAAAATTCCCAAACAGGAAATGTTATTTTAAAGTTAACAAATATAATAAAAAAGAAATTATAAAGTACATAATATATTTAAAATTAGTTAAGGTTTAATTTAAACTCTACTACTTCGTAATAGTTTAAAAAAAAGTTCATTGACTTGTTACTCAAAAAAAAAAAAAAAACTAAAAGAAATTGAAAGTAAATTTCTTTCTGCTTTCTTTTCTTCAGCTCTTTCATTTAAAGAATATTAAATAATTTATATACAACAAAAACAACTACGAAATTTCTTTATTCATGAAACAAAAAAAAAAAAAAAAAAAAATCAGTGGCCATGTGCTTATTTCTTTTCATTATCTTTCAAGGAAACTTACGAAAAAAAATACTTTTTTTTAATAAATACAAGGTCTTTTTCTTATATAAAAAATAGCTCAAGCTAAATAATATAAAAAAATGCAAATACTCCAAAAAGCAGATTAATTCAAAAATAAATTACAAAATTATTAAGTAAGGCAACAAAAACATTTAGAAAAATTTTAAAGAAATTAAAGAAAAAGCTTTTTAAAAATTTTTAAGGATTTTTTTAAGAATTTTTTTATTAAACTTTAAAAATTTTTCTTAAACAAAATATGTTTTTGGAAAAACAAACTAAACTTAAAATATTTAAAAAACTTTTTGAATTGGAAATGAATTTAAAAAATTTTATATAAATTTTATTTATAAAAAATTACTTAAAAATTTTTTAAAATTCCTTTGCTAATTTTTAACGAATTTTGAACATTTAAAATATATTTTTTAATTTTTTTTGAAATTTACCATTGCTGAAAAATATATTGTAATAATTAAATAAATGCAAAATAATTTTCTAAACATTAAATAATTAGTTAAAAAATTTTAAAAATTCATTTACTAATTTTTAACGAATTTTTAAAAATTTTAAGAATTAAAAAAAATAAATTTTAAATAATTTACTTAAGAAAATTATGTTTAATAAAAACAGTTAGAAGCTTAAAAATTGGTAAAAATTTAGTTTTTATAAATTTTAATGAAAAAAATTAAAAAAAGATTTTTTTAATTAAAAAAAAATTAATTTTGTTGAAAAATATTTTTTAAAGTTAGATAAAAGCGCAATAATTTTATAAACATTAAATAATTAGTTAAAAAAATTTAAAAATTCTGTTACTAATTTTTAATGAATTTTAAAAATTTTAAACTTTTTTTTTACAAAATTCAATTTTTTATTAAAGAAAATTTTTTAAAATAAAACGAAAATTATCTAAAAAACAAGAAAAAAATCTTTACAAGGCAAAAATAATTTTTATAAATTTTTAAAAAATTTTGTTTAATTTTTAAAATGGTTTTTTAAATTTTATTTTTTTTTTAAATTTTAAAATTATAGAAAAACTTTTTTTAAATATTTTAAAAGCTTTAAAAATTAGTATCTAATTAGCTTAATTAATAAAAAATTAGTTAAAAAATTTTAAAAATTTTAAGATTTTTTTTTAATTAAAAAATAATTATTTTTAATTTTTTTCTTAAAGAAATCATTTTAAATTAAAACAAAAATAAGCTTAAAATTAAGGAAAAATTACAAGCTTTATAAAATAATATAACTAACAAATTTTTATTTATTATTTTTAATGTAAAAATTAAATTTAATTTTAAAAAATTATAAAAAATTTGCAATATTAAAATTAACATTTTTTTATAATTAAAAAATTAGTTTGTTAACAGCTTAACAATAAAAAATTAGTTACAAAATTTTAAAAGTTATTTTAAGATTTTTTAAAGAATTTTTCGGAAATTAAAAATTAATTTTTTATTTATTTTTTAAAGAAAAAAATTTAATTGAAACAAAACTGTTTTTAATATTTTATATAAATTTTCTAGAGATTTATTTGGTTTGTTATTATTTAAATTATAAATTTAGTTTCGTTTGTTTTTTTAATAATTTATTCTATTATTTTTTTAGCTTTATTTTATATTCATTAATATTTGGCAATATTTAACGTTTCAACAAAAGTCTACTTTCACTTTCTTTCAAAACACACACACACACACAACACAAAAACTTA